CTCTCTCTCTCTCTCACACACACACACACACACACACACACACACACACATGGCTCTGTGTTATTAGCATGTACGAGTCACGTAGCCTGCGGCATCTGTCTACACCGCGCCATTCGGTGCAGCAACTGCGACTGCAAGAATTGGATGTGGTGCTTCCACAGTCCACACCCGAACCAGTCCTGTCTGGTTTGGAGGGGTGGCCGTTTACTGTAGCCAACAGCCGCTTCTCAGCTCCAAATCTTCTGCAAGCCAAACACCGAGTGACCCCTAGTGCCAGTCTAGAGTGGACTGCTCCAGCGGCGAGTATTTAGAAACCAGTGAAGTTCATCATATCTCTGTTCTGTCCTTTGTCATTCCATTTTCTCCCCTACCCCTTCTCCCTCCCCTTCCCCTCACTCCTTATAGAACTCCGCCTCCTACCCCCCTTCCCTTCCTCCCTCCCCTTGTGTACTACGCGTAACTATATACGAATGAGCATCATTAAGAGAGCAGGCAAGATATAAGCTGAAGATCTGAAGAGAACTGAACAGGAGTATGTCTCCGCCTTTACTCTGCCTCCTTTCATGATGTGCAACTGTGCCGTTAAGGCACAGGGTGGTGTGGGCAGCTGGCGCTCAACCACAATCAACATGCCCAGCCTTGTACATGAGAGGCACAGTAAGAGGGAGCTGCAAGAGCAAATAGAAGGGATACCCCAAGCAACAGAATGGGGAGGAGCGTGCATGTGTTCTCATTGTATTCATTATTGATTTGCCGGGGGAATAGGAACCGGACTGTTGCTCCCCAGAGTGGCAGGAGCCAGAATCGAGAGGTTCTGTGAAAAAAAAAAAGGAGGGATACCCCAAAGAAAGACAGAGTAAAGATAGTCAAGAAAGGGTGATATAACGGATCTATTCTGCTCCCCCAAAGAAAGCCAGAGTGAAGATAGTCAAGAAAGGGATATAACGGATCTATTCTGCTCCATGTTGCTTGTATAGAGGTAAAACCGTAAAACTGTTTCATTGTCTGCAACAGAGGTAAAGCTGCATCGATTTTGGATCTACTCATCTGGGTGGAACAGGGGCTGTTGCGGTGCAAATCTAAACCGCCCCCC